GGAATGTGCTTCAGTGCTTGTGAGTGGGGATAATGTGCTTTTCCTGATTGTGTCCTGGGGAGGCAGTTTTCTCTTTCAATTAAGTGGTCATAATAACAATATTCTTAAGGTGTTTATTGTCCCTGGTCTATAGAAGTGTAGAAATGCACTGGACATATTCCATGTGCACTCCAGATTTAATTCTTCCTCTTTTTGCACCCTACTGATAGCCCCCGGATGCTAATTTTTTGGGATCACATAAAATCCCATGCATCCTTTACCTTGGTTTAGGTCAAGCATTCTGGAGCTCTGGCAAAGGAGCCTGGGAGATATGTTAGGATAATTTGCTACTTTCCTCACCCTCCCTTGCAAGACTCTTACCAGAGATTTAAGTCTAAATGAGATGCAGGGCTTTTCTCAAAGCACCCCACTCTCCATAACTGCGAGTTTAGGTCAGGGCCCTAGGCTGTTGTGCTAACCATTACCACGGGACTGTACCCAGACCTCTGTAAACAGTCTTCTTGTAAATACATCACCTTCAACTTTGACATTTCAAAGCCATCACCTGTCTCCCACTGGATCCCACACACTAGAGTAAAAAATAATGTCTGGCCTTGTGAAAAACCTAAAAATATATAATTGATAGGAGCAGCTGGCTCATATAATTTGATAAAAGAACATCAAATAGCCTTTGGTACAGATCATCATAGTAACACTACTACTGCGAGTGTGTGTGTCAGTGTGTGTGTGTGATACTGAAGTATCTTATGTAACAGGTGACAAAAATTTAACCTTGCTTATTTGAATTATAATTCAAAATAAGTTGAAAATTGTTTTAATTAATTCCAACTTAAGAAAGTCAATGGAAATACTTTTTGTATTAGTTATTGCACAATATACATTCCACATTTAATGGATGCTTTAAGGCCAAGAAGAGGCATTCCTAAATAAAAATGAATGCTGCAGATAAATCTGGTAGGCGATGTCCTTGGAATTTAATTTCAATGCATAATGTTTCTATAAAAGATAAAACATAGGGAGGATGCAGAAACAACCCCAGGCACCTGCAGCTACCTGATCTTTGACAAGGAGGGGCGGGTGAAAACTTTGTCGGAGGAAAGACAATCTCTTTGAGGAGTGGGGCTGAGAAAACAGGCTATACACATGCAGAAGATTGAACTGAGACCTGTCTCTTACTGTGTACTTATCAAACCTCAAAAATGGTTCAAAGATCTCAATATTAAAACAGAAATAACCTGTAGGATGACAAAAAAAAAAGTAAATCTTTTAAAGGCATGGGTGCAGGCAGGTCTTTCTGAACTGAACCCCCCAAATTGCACAAGAAATAATATCCAGAATCAACAAGTGGAGTCTCATCAAATTGAAAAGCTTATGAATAGCAAAAGAAACAACCAACAGAGTGAAGAGACAACCTACAGAATGAGAAAAAAATTTGCCAGAAGTTCTTCCGACCAAGGACCATGGTAATATCTAAAATATATAAAGAACTAAAAAAATTTATACCTCCCCAAAATGAAAGATCCAATCAACAAATGGGCATCTGAAATGAAAAGACACTTCTCAGAAGAAGTGCAAATGGGCAATATATAAGTGAAAAAATGTTCAACATTGCTGGCTGTTAAAGAAATTCAAAGTAAAACAACACTGAGATAACTTCTTACTCTAGAAAGAATGGTCATCCTCAAAAAGTTGAGTAATAGCAAATTTTGGGGAGGCTGCAGGAGAAGAGGAACACTTTTACGCTGTCGGCGAGTGTGAAAGAGTACAATCAGTATGGAGATTCCTCAAAAAACTAAAACTTGAAATTGGATTTGACCCAGCCATTGTTCTAGGTGTTTTCCTAAAGGACATCTTGTTATGATGAGCATCTGTATTCATCTTCTTACTATCGCAATTCATAATAGGTGATTCTTGGAAGCGGCCTATATGTCCAGTAAGGAATAATCAGATAAATAAAATGTGGCATTGATACACAATGGAGTATGACTTTGCCGTAAAGAAAGATAAATTTGAGTCATTTGTAGGAAAATGGCTGCAACTTGAGAGCGTGTAAAGTGAAATTAATCACAAATGCAAGCGTAAACATTGCGTGCTTTTCTTCTGTGAGAAATCAAATATAAAGAAGGATGTAAATGAATGATACGTACAGTAAGAAGAGGGAAATAAAGAAAGTTTCCTAGAGGAGCTCTCAGTTTATTACTCAAAAGGCTGATTTTTATTTCTGCATTTTGTGACGTTTGTAGTATTTGTCAGCTATTTTAAAGTGTGTGAGCTTTAGACTTCACAAGCCAGGGCTCTCTCTCCTCTCATGGTAACACCATACCACTTTGTAGTTTTATCAAGCAGATGAACCTCTGTGTGTGTGTGTGTGTGTGTGTGTGTGTGTGTGTGAAAAAGGGGGTGGGGTGATCAAGAGATAGAGGGGAGAGGAATGGGCTGGAAAAAGGAATGACGAAGGGTCAGGCTCCTGTACGAAGCCCACACAAGGAATGCACCACCAATATGTACTCATAAAATGAAAGTATAATACATTAAAAACCTAAATGCAATATAAAATTTCTCTAGTTCAGAAGCAAACTCAGCTTTTCCAGCTCAATAGTCACTGTGAGAATGCCTATGCTGGCCTCAACACTGCTGACCTCTGAAAAGAGTCGGAGGGGAAGGTAAAGCAGAGGGAAAAAAGGGGAAAGGTAATTTTTAACCTCCAAGGTCATTTTAAGCTGCATACTACACTTGTGCTTATCCACTTAGTGATTACTAACTGACATGGTTAGAAATCTTATTCTGGAGTAGAAGAGAGGCATCTCCCTCACACCTTTTTAGAGCTGGAGAGCTACTCTGCTTCAGTGTGTGGCTATCGGTTTTTTGTGTGTTTGTTTGTTTTGTTTTTTTGAGACAGGGTCTCACTATGTAGTTGAGACTGACCTGGAACTCACTATGTAGCCCAGGCTGGTTACGAACTCACAGCGATCCTCCTGCCTCAGCCTCCCGAGTGCTGGGATTACAGGAGTGCGCCACCAACACCACACCTGGCCTGACTAATGCTTTATTGAATGGAAGGCCCTTTAAATATTAAAAAAAAAATTATAATCAAATAGTAGGAGAATAACAATAGTTGTAACACAGTGTATTTTTATCTTCAAAGTGGTTACTCAGAGTACAAGACATAAGCCAAAAAGATTCTTACAAAAAAAAAAAAAGAAAAAAAGAAACATAATAGCAACTCTTTCTTTTCAAGGAACTAAGATAAACTAAGCCCTTTTGATTAACGTTCGGGTGTATGTGCAGTTACAAATAATTCTAAGCTGAATGAGCTTGTGTATATTTCCCCCCAAACCTTCAAAGTGGTTACTCAGAGTACAAGACATAAGCCAAAAAGATTCTTACAAAAAAAAAAAAAGAAAAAAAGAAACATAATAGCAACTCTTTCTTTTCAAGGAACTAAGATAAACTAAGCCCTTTTGATTAACGTTCGGGTGTATGTGCAGTTACAAATAATTCTAAGCTGAATGAGCTTGTGTATATTTCCCCCCAAACTACAACCCACCTTTACGAGTGTGTCTTTGGGAGGGGTTACACAAGGATCAGGCAGAATGCGAGCAAAAAAGGAAGCACATAATGATACCCCGGGTATAGCCATATTCGCCTGAGAGTGGGTGCCAGGGTGCTCCAGGCCACAATACATGTCTGTGCCTTTTCCTGAAAACCTTACTATGTGAAAGAAATTCTGAATATTGAATCTCACTTTTCTGGAAAACTTTCCACTCATTCAAGATTTATTTTATACATACACGCTCACACGTGCGTGTGTGTGTGTGTGTGTGTGTGTGTGTGTATTGAAATTGGGGTCTTCACACTGACCTGCATTCCCAGTTCTTCTTTTTAAAAATTTTGAGACAAGGTTCACTAAATTCTCAGGTTGTCCAGGCTGATTGTGTGACCCCTTCCCCAGCCTCCCAGAGGGCTGAGATTACAGATGTCTGACTCCTCTTCCTCTTGTCCTTTTATATTTGTTGATGATGATTTTTACTTCACAATTTAGAGGTTATGTTTAATCACATAAAGGTTTTTTATTATGTTCTTCTTTGTAGCCTTTTTTATAGGAACATTATAATTTTTATTCTTATGGTTATCGTTATATTAATACTTTTCTAAGATAGTCTCTTTTTTCAGTTTTTTCTGTCATTAGTACAAGTTTCATGAAATCTGTCAACTATTCATTTCTCTCTTTTTTATGTCCCCAAGCATCTACTTGCAATATATTTTGTTACCCAGTTTAATGACCATAAATCAGCACAACAGTTCACTCTGCAGGATCTCACCCTCATCGTAGAATATCTGATAATTTGCTTCATCTGTATTGTCAGCTACTATCGCTGTAACTACGTGTCTTATACTCACCGCATCATCCTCTTCCTTAAAAAAATGATTTCACTTTCGTGTGAAAGGCTTGTAACTAGGTCTTACAATGTTAACTCTCCAATTGCTTTGGTTGCCAGAGGAAGGGGACCAAGAGATGGAGGGAGGAGGGAGGGAGGAATGGAAGGGGTGAAACCCAGGAAATGGGACGTTTTGTGAACAGGTATCACCGCACACAAGAAATGGAAACATTTTTTACTACCAACATGTACGGAACGGCATTCTCATTTACTCTATTAAACGGAAAACCCAAACAGTTTGATTACTTACTGCATCCTACACACATCCTCACTTCCTGAACTCAGTGTATCGTCCAATAGCCATCATACATCTGCATGTAGCAGGACCCTCCTTAGCGTGCACTATGAAAAATGCCCAATGCATATTGTAGCAGTCATTCTGCACCCGGAACAGTTACTTCCAAATAATCTTATGAATGCCACAAATTAGCCAACATACTGTCAAAGCTGTTTCCGTACAAGTTTTTCACTGTCGTTTTTTACACCCGGAATTCTCTGTTTCAGAACCTACAGTGAAAGAATTAGAGAATGAAAAATTTTCCTTGCCCAAAGTCCACTTACGTCTGTTTGCTTTTATGGACTGCAGAGCCAGCTGAGAGTCTGTCTATGGGGGACCCAAAGCCAGAGAAGCTCCTCTTCTTCTTTGTCTCAATCACATCATTCTCCAAGGAAACCAGTTCATCGAGAAGCAAGAGTTTCATTGCCAGGTCGGTGGCTGATTTCTCCTCCCTGGCTGGGGATGGTGTCCGTGCATCTGTGACCACAGAATCCAAGGCCTGGAGGGCAGAGAAAGGTGATTCCGCTCATTCAGACAGAGAAAAATGAGTTATGCACAGTCATCTGCATCGGCATTTTCTACCTTTATCTGAGAGGCCCACTGCAAAACATTTTATAATTCCTTATGGAATTATATTTCACAGGAGAAGCCTAAGCATTTTTTTTTTTGAGGAGGGAGAGTGAACCCATAAAGCTAGAATAAATGCAACAGAAAACAAAACAAAACAAAACAAAACAAAATTCCATACTTGGCTCTAAAATTTAACACTGATCATTCTTTCAGGTCTTTAAGTAACAACTGCATCCTTTCTTAACCATTCCCTTAGCACTTTATCTATACCTAGTTCATCAAAGCACTTGTTATATTTTATCTTATAGTAGATTAATTACAATTCAGCTGAAGTCCTTATTAGATTACCAATAACTCAAGGACAATGAGTAGCTGATTACTCTTTTATTTGCTCTACATCTAGCCCAGCATTTTGTTCATAATTAGCCCTCACATTTGTGATGAATATGACTGCATTCTGAAAAGGAAACCAAGCTCCCTTCTGTTTTCCTATTTTCTATTGACCACTCATTCATGTAATATAAATCACTAAAAATCCACCACGTATCCGCTTCTGCATAAGCTTGGAGAGATTAAAAAAAATGAGCAAAATCCAGTTTCTGTTGGCAGGGAAGCTAATATCTCTATTCATGTGATGCGTTAATAAATATTCACAAACATCTGTAGTGCATCAGAGCGATCCCAGTACATTTTAGTTCCCAGGTAAATTTTCTGCACATTTGTTTAGTACACACATTATTACTTTGTACTTTGCACAAATCGTCTAAGTGTAAGTGTCGTCCACTTTGTGAAGTCTTTGTCCCTTCTTAGGCCCAAGTACCGCATTAAGAAACCTTGTTGCTATTAACAGTCCTGAGTTATCCAGCAGCCCAGGAAACACTGTCTTTTTCTACCAGACTGAAACTATTTCCCTTATTGGAGGAAATTTTAGCGCTAGTGGATTATTTTCCTTTCCTCCCTTTAATCACATTCTTCCAGCTGCCACACTCTCGGTCCCAGGACAGAAACTAGAGAAGGAAAGATGCTACGGTAGGAAGAAAGAAACCCCAAAGGGTACAGGGCAAAACTTCACCTGGCAAAGATCTTTGATTTCCCAGAGAACCTTCCAAAGACTGTGCTTTTGTTCTCATAAATATAATTTTGTTTCTTTTTAAAAATATGTTCAATCTTCAGAGGAAAAATCACTGAATTCATACAGAAATTATTCTTTTGGAAAAATGCATTTCTGACTCTCATGTTGTGTTGTGTAAGAGGTAGAGATCATTTTTTAATAAGGTCAAAGTTAGCCAGAGTAACTGTTCTCTGTATGGAAATGTTTTCTTATGTGTTTCTCCCTATTTGTTCAAAGTTCCAAGAAAATATTTGTATTATAATAAAAGTTTTGTCTAAAACAACACTCAACTTAGCATGCAAATTTCAAATTTCACATATAGTACTTAATCTTTATGCAACTGAAAATTAATACAAGTATGGTTGAAATGATAAAAATTTTTCTCTTAATGCTTTTCTGTTTAAGGATGACATATCTTTCTTATTCTCTCTCTCTCTCTCTCTCTCTCTCTCTCTCTCTCTCTTTCTGTACCAGCGTTCAAATACTTATGTCTTTGATTTTACACATTCAAATACTTTTCCTATTTGTCAGGGAGACCTCCTTCTGACTCTAATAGAAATGGCTTATGTTTCCCCCACCAGAAAAGGACATGGCACTGCGTGTTGTTTTTTCAATCACCTCGGTTGTTGCATCCACTGAGAGAACTTTTCCTGAACTCCAGAGCATCAGAGTCATAGCCAGGATGAAATGAGCACCTGCTGATCTCCAGTCCAGCATCTGAGGGTCACATACATCGGGGTTAGCATTAATGAGTTTGAAAGATAAAGATAGAAAGTAAAAAGTTCCTCAGAAGTTTTTTAGAGAAAAATAATTCATTAAATTATTAACTTCTAGGGAATGCATTCCACAAACTTAAATAATACTCAGTAGAATCTGTCAGTCTCTCAGAGTTTCATTTCCACAGAGACTTAGATTTGGTTTGTACAGATAAAATAATAATTTATAACTTTAATAAATTCAAACTAATCTGGCATCAGAGAGATTCAGTTCCTATGACTTTATTCTTCATCTAATGCAGAGATTGAAAGCTTATGCACTTCGCTGAAAATATGTAAAATGGCCAAGATATAAGAGAAAAACTCGAAGAGGAGCCTGAGGCAGAATGAATGTGACAGATCTAAAATAATTTAAATTCAAAATTTCAAAAACACCCTAAATTTAATTGGAGAATAACTCTATATTCCTGTGTTATGTCTGGATTTCTTAAACACAATTCAAAAGGAAGGCATCTTATAGAAAATAATTATCAGATTTCAGTATATAAAAATGTAAAAATTCAGTATGGCAAGATATAATAAACACAACTGAAAGACAAATGGCAAAATTGAAGATATTTGCAACATATATATCCAAAAGCAAGATTAGTACCTGGAAAATGTAAATAAATCTTATCAATAAAATGTTAAAAAATGACAGATGAAAAGAGGTTTAAATTCTGAATGGAAATGCCATAGAAAAGAAGATATTCTGAAGGTAAATAAACATTCCATGATATATCCAACTTATTTAATATAAATCTAAATAGAAGTGATATTTTACACACATCAGATAAAACTAATTAAAGTCACCATGTCAAATGTTGGAATGGTACTAGGAACCAGGAGACTGCACAAAATTCTGGCAGAAATGGAAATGGATCCAACCATGTGAAGAATATTAGAAATAAGTAGAAAGTTTCAAAATGGTTTTGTTCTTTCTATAACACATTTATTTCACTTCTACTACAAATCCCTGAGAAACTCCTACATCTTACTGAGCAAATACGTGTCAGGAAGTTCTAAGCCTCATTATTTTTAGCAGTCAAAAAATAGAATCGAAGTGCTCCATCCAAAAGAAAATGCATTTATTAATGGAGATATTCAGACTGTGGACTGAAAGCATGTGACTTAGTTATATGTATGCTTACTGTTAAAACAAATCATTTAAGTGTATGTGTATCTATATGTGTGGATTTCAATAAAACACTTTTTGGGGTATGGGAAGTGTTAGAACAGTACATATAGCATAAAACCATTTATCTAAATTTGAATTATGTACACAATTGGATACATTTTGAAATATATATTCATGCAATTAAAATATAAGCCAATGCAATCTGACTAATGATTATGATTGCCTCCACGGGTGAAGAAAAATGAATACAATTAAGGAGGAACCATAAGGCACTTAGTTTTTAATCTATAATTTAAAAAAGTAAATGCACAAAAATATGTTTGTTTATGCTGAGTCATAAGCACAATGGTGTGTTATTTCTGAATTTCTGACTTTTTGCACGAGAACCATGCCATGGTGCCACCAGCTAAATCTCATCTACGCTTTCTGTCAGGGTTGGTGGCTGCCAGTTTGTCCACTGGCCCTGTTAATCCTGCCCAGTCAATGAAGAGGCCTTATCCTACTGAGGGAGGACCACAGGCAGAGGCTAGAACAAAGCCAGTTTGAATACGAGCTGCGCCACTGAATAGACGGCAGTGGGGAAGTTCCGGAAGATCATTCTTTGTGAATGATCACCTCAGACAAATATATAAACTCCCTTCAAAAATCAATCATGTAAAGAACTTGTTGGGGGCACAGAGACTTCGGATGCTAGAATGGAATTCGAAGAACAGGCTTGAGTCCCATTTTGCTATATTGTTAGTTATGACCTTGGATATGCATCGTGTGGTCCACTTGAATTTCACTTTCCATATTTGTGTAAGAAGATCTGTTTCTCACCTCAAAATAGTCTTGAGATGACGGGGTTGATTTACGCATAATCCCTTTATCTCATGTAGTATTTGTAATTTGTAAATGAAGGAATATTTGCAGGGTTTTACTAAATATTGTCTCAAAAATTGCATACCTTTTGCTATGACCAACACTTTCTTTATGACACTTCAAAAACGATTACTGTGCTGTGAAACCATAGTGTACATTTGAATAATAAATGTTATTGGTTAGAATATGAATAAAAATGCTTTATGCAGAGTAACACCTCTATGAAGTATACTGATTAAGACTTAAAACAGAGATTAAAATATTTTAATATGATCTATACCATTTATTTCATCAAATACAATTTTTTAAATAGTTTAGCTCAAACTGTTCATTTGAGGTCTTTATGGCATAAATTATTCTATCTTGGAATCTTGCCACATAATGCTAATCACTAGCTCTTTCTCTGTATTCCATCATTTTTGGGAAAGGAGCAATAAATTCATTCTGTGTTCTCTTTTTGCCAAATTTATATTTAATTCGAGTTTTTCTGTAAGTACCAGAAAACAATGAATCATATCTCTAAATTAAGTTAATAGACATATAAGGAGGGGAATCTAACAATTATTTGCTGAACATATCAACCAAACACTGCCTTCACCATCCTTTAGAAAGTCAGCCACTGAATTATATCTTTCTCTTGATTTTTCTCATGTTACTTTGGCTTCCCTCCACACATAAGAAGATATAGTAAGAACATAGCTGAATTACAAAAAAATGATTTCATATTTCTTATGTACCTTCTTTTACAAGAGAGCTCTCTCATTTAATCAAAGATAAACAGTAATTGTAAACTTTTCCTTCTTTATTTTTAATTATGTTAAAAATAGATTACAAAGTGTGAATTCACCCGGTTTTATATATCTTTCCATGTGGATTTCCTTTAACTATTTTTATATACATTTTACTAACCAGATTTCTCTTCATCTCTGCAATCTTGTAAATGACACAGGATGATGGGTGTTTATAATATTGACTATTTGCCTGAGGCATATATTTTTGTGCATGGGTGTATATCGGAAAAAAGTCTTAATATATCATCTAACAGATCACCACATCCTGATTATTTGGATAAGGAGATGTAAAAATAAATGCTGAGTTTAAATACGTGCATTTAATGGCTCAAAACCATGCTCATAGCCAGTTAACTGAAAGGCCGCATTCCTAAATATGGCCTTCGGTACACTAATGCAAACAAGCACCCTGGCACCTGCCACACAAAAGACATTTGATTAACTAGTTCAAATTTGATTGCTACAAAATTAGAAGCAGAGCAAATTATAGGGAAGGAAAGGAAAAGACTCCATTTATCCCCATTTTGTTGATAGTGGATAAATATAGCCCATCATTTAAAAAATCTCCTTGGCCCACGTACACTCCAGATCACAGAAGGAAACCTCAAAGGATTCACTGACTATGTGAATTTACCAAAGCGTCTGCCCTTTTTGTAACGCATAATTCACTTTTATTAACTTTTGATGAATATTCCACAGAGTAGTGAGGCATTTCAAAAGAGACTGTGGACATCAAACTTGCCTTAGAAGATTTTGTGCATAGTGTACTTCATTCATTTTTGGGCAATAAGATTATTATATATTTTCACTTTTTAGATAATAGTGCTGAATAAAAAGGGTTTACTGGTGTTTATATTGATCTTAAACTTGGATTCAAAGACTCTGGGCATGTACGAACTCATTTTATCCTGCAACAATCCTCCAAATTAAGACTGGAGTAAGAGTGGATAGATCCAGGTGGAGAGGAATGGAGTTTTGTTGCTTCAATTTAGGAAACAACATATATCGTTTATTCCTTTGGAACTGTTGTAGTTCATAGTGACACACTGCTGTCCAAGTTCAGCAGTACAGAACCTGGAGCAAATATATTTAAACTTGAATGTAATGAGAAGACTGTTAATATGGAGAAAAATATCTTCCTTGTTCAGAACCAGGGCAGCAATGAGTCATTCCAAGTGGGCTTGGAAGAAGATAAGATTGAGAATCATTTTGGAAAAAAAAGAAAAAAAGAGAGAAAGCAAGCTGGAAAGAAGGAAAGTGCTAAGAGAAACAAGGTGAGCCAGCATCTGATCTAATGCATTTTTCATGACTAAAACTTAAATTACGTGCATTTGAAGCCCCATAGTAAAGATGAAGCATTACTCGGGTGATTAACACTTTCTCTTCAGTTTGAGGCTTTATCATTAACATTTGCCTCATTGATAGCTGATCAAAGCATTAGAAACTCACAAGAGTACTGACCTTTTCTGTGAATCCTTGTATCATCTGAGAATTTTTCATTTCCTCTAGTATCTTGCCTGGAAATGTTTTAAAGCAGACTCTATTCCACCCTCCCCTTTTCAACAAACCTTTTTAAAAAGGACTTTATTAAAAATAAAAGATTAATGCTTTTCATTTCCTGTCTTTTTGCTACACTTCCCAATTCCCTTTCCCCTTCCCCTTTAGGCCTTTACTTCCTATTTCACTTTACTATACATGTTGGTCCTCATTTACACTTTCAGTTTCTCACACTAGAGAAACTATTTGGCATTTACACACGTGTGTCCTATTTATTTCACGTAAGAGGATGGCCTCAGTGTGCATCCATTTAGCTATAAATGTCTCTAGTTTCTCATTATTAAAATATAAAAAAAGTTAATCAACTAATTCATTCTTCTGTTTTTATTTATCTTCTTTTTTCCACCTCGATAGAGCCAGGCGTTTAAAGAAGTTTAACAAGAAGTGTTATATAGGGAACTATGACACCATGAAAGGGCCGTGTGCCTGGGAATAACAATGACTTCAGGTTCTTTCCCTGAAAATGAAGGTGGTTTTCCAGACATACTGGGTCAGAGTGGCCCCAAGAAAATCAGTAAAACACTAAGCTCATCATCTTACCCTTTATCCTACTGTATTAAGATACAGTCATGCAGGCCTTATTTGGCAACCGAGAAGAACTTCAGCAACAGTAGCTAATGGAGTGAAAATAATTTCTAGAGGGTTGAAAATTGAATGCTTGAATGCCATCCCAGTGCCATTCACTGCAATAAGATTTTGGGTGCCAGTGTTGTGGGACTCGGACTTGTCACTGGCTCTGTGGTTATTTAATGATGTGGCATTGGGCAAACCTTTTCCCTCTAGACCAGTGAAATTGGGGCTGGCCTATCTGACCTCTGCTGTTGCTTCTGGCCTTTAAGTCAGTTGGGCTCTCTGACTTTTTCCTGATGGAAGTACAAACACCGTAGGTAATCGTGGTGCTTGGTTTAGGGTTAGTTAAGAAAATCTTTCTGCTCTTCTTTACAACAGCTGAATGCTGTGCATGAGGCATCTTCTCTATAAATTTAGGTATATTTCTAGCTGAAAAGAGAGAGCCTCTAAAGCTTCACTTTTAAGATTTATGGTAATAGATACTCTTTTTTAAGATGTGTTTTAAGAAAGTGAAAAAAGCTATCCATTAAATGGTTACATGCTGGCAGGTGTAACGATTTAAATTTCAGAGATATTAAATGTAAGGCAGAATTGACGGAGTGTAGTCTACACAGTTACTTTCAAGTGTTTACTTGGGTTTTTTAATTTGTTTTTCTTTTTCTCTTACGTGTAAGTCACTAGATTCATTTCTCCTACAGTTTCAAAACAAAAGTTCCTAGAACTGAGGTTGCCTAGGGCAGAGAGAAGAATTGCATCTTCTCCTTTGGGCTCAGAGAAAGAAAAGATGCTACAATATTGAACTTGATGGTCAGATGTAAAACTTTAAAATACATCATTAGTATTAATAATTTTAAAGTGTTGACTGTATCTTACTGACTTGCATTTGGAAGTAATAGCTTGCTTATCAAAATAAGACAGTAAAATGAATGTCCTTTCAATAAACACAAACCTAGGTGAAAGAAAGAGATCGATCCAGGTTTTTATACCTACAGTAAAATGTGAGGAAGTTCATGCTAGAATCCTGGCGTGTCTGTTAATGCTGCACAGGACCCAGTCTCTTTCTAATGAAAGTGTCACTTGACCCTGTTCCCCAGTCACCACCCTTTAGCGTTTTCAGATTTCTTCTTATTAAACTGTAACCTGTACTTAGATTTCTGAACAGCTAGACATTTTCTGGCAAAAAACCAAGATACCTATACATGGAAAAGAACTCTGTTATACGACCATACACAATTATGTTAAAGTTAGTTGTTCAATGTCCCCTAATAGGGGAATAAAAGAACCTTTAAAACTATAGATAGGAAAAACTATGAGTTTTAAGTAATACCCTGGCTGGCCATTTGATGCATAGGTAATTTTAATGTGGTATGCAAAAGGTTTTCACAGGGTGAAGTTGGATAAATGAAGTTAAATATAAGATACACAGGGTTCAGGATAGTATGGAATATCATGCTTTTTACACTGTTTCACTTTAAATGTATGTATAATATTTAATAAAAATTCTACATTTAATTTATATTATTCAAGCCAATTTAATCAATAAAATAATACTCTCTAAAGTGCAAAGAAAGCAAGGAAAACATAAACTGTATAATAATCACAGGATGGTACCAGGGTGGTAAAAGTCAGTAAGATTCTTTCTGTCCCCACGCTGTTCACTTACAGGGGTGTCTTTCTGTAGCAGCTGATCTTGCTGGAATCCTGCTGGAATGATTCCATTTCCTTCAAGTGTAACCATTTTTAATAACCCTTTAAAAATCTTTTGCATAGTGGTTAATTAATTTAAAATAAATTTATTTCCTTCATCCTCACAATAGAAACTATTATGATTCTATTTTGCATTAAATTGCTAAACTGAGATAATCTGAGTTCTTATGGAACCTTGATTTTCCATCTCCTGGCCTTAGCTGTATACTTTCCAATACAACAAAGTCAATAAGTACAAAGACATCAGTCATGAAATTGTGCAGACCTGGGTCTGAATCCTGATCAAACATGTTATTTAGCCTCAGTTTCTTTATCAGGAACTTGGAGCAAGGGTTTGTTGGAGGTTTATTGAGGATTAGAAATAACAGAGTAGTACAAGTCTGTTAGTCAAGAAGTAATATTTATAGCATTCAAATATTGGCTTCTAAAATGTAACAACTTTTCAAAATATTTTTACTAATATTTTCTATTTTTCTGAAAAAATATCATTTTCATCCTTAATTTTAAGGAATAAAATTAGTCCTTGGCATCTGGAAAATAAAATATAATAAAATTGACATTGAGAGGGAAAGTAATTTCACTAGAGTCCTGGCAAAGGCTCATTTGATGCATTGCTGTTTTATTATTCTCAGCCCTTTGAAAATATTAACATACAAACTAAATATCCTCCTGGGTAAAAAGCAAAAGGAAGAGAACTCAGTGACATTCAAAACATAATTAGTCTTCAAGCCCAAATTCTATTAACTAAAGGGAATTTTTCATATCACTTTATTTTTATTTTAATTTAATTTTTTTTCTTTTTTTTGGTGGTGGGGGGGTTGAGACAGGGTCTCACTATGTAGTTAAGACTGACCTGGAACTCACTATGTAGCCCAGCTGGTCTCAAACTCACAGTGATTCTCCTGCCTCAGCCTCCCGAGTGCTGGGATTACAGGCGTGAGCACCCCCCCAACCCCCGGCACTAAACAATCGGTGGCAAGTGATACCTCTCTCTGTTCCCTCAAGGTACCCTGATAACTGTTTGGAGAAATCAGAGGACGAACTGAGCTAAAAATGCATACATGGGAGACATCACCTGACCGACGACAGGGGCTGGGCTGGTTAGAGAGGTTTCCAGGGACAGAAGGGAAACTGTGTGTCCCTAACTTACACTGCCAGACCCCAGTTTCACCAAGAGTAGAGAAAAGCCTCAGGGAAGCTGAATGATTAGTCCAGGGTCACAAGTCCTGGAAATCAAGACTGTGAAGTCTGGTTTGTTTTGACCCTGAAGCTTGTGTTTTTACTGCATCATCAAATCTGAGCAAAAATTTTCTGATGGTTGGGGATCACACTAGATGAAAAGTCGATGAAAATGAGACAACGTCTAAAGATTAGCCTCTAGATTCTGAGAAACTGAATGCTTTTCCTGCTACATGGGGGGAAAATCGACTCACAGGAAAGCTTCTCCAGGTCATTCTTTCAATGTATGCCTGGTCCTAGTCATTTCTCTTGTCTCTTTCAATAATATAGTACTTTTGAACTCTAATTTGTGCTTAAGGCTTCCCAGAGACATTCTGGCAGCATTAGGATGATACTTTATGATTTTTTACTGTGAATTATTTTCCTTTGAGGGAAGCTCAATTAATCTCATTTATCAACCAGTAATACAAATCATAAAGAATATTTGAACATGGGGACCCTGAGGTTAAGTTGACCCTTTAGTCAGCTAAAGGTATCTGTTCCTCTCTTGCCCACAATTCATCATAGGAGTCAATTAAAAAAAAAAAAACAACTCTGGAAATAAGGAGGAGAAAACAAATGTCAACGTTAAGTATTTTAACTTCTTGAATGAAACCACAGTGCAATTCATAGATAAGGGAAGCTTCAATTCATAGCTGCACAAAGCTGTCTTTTAAAAAGTGGTACCAGAAAAGAACCAAAGTAAAGAAGATACAGAATGTAATTAATGATTTGGGGTAGATAATTAACAAAATGACAGTAATAATTCTATGACTTATATGGGCTTTAAAATTCACCATAATCCATTTCTAAAAGGATAACTCTGAAACAAATCATAACCACATTCCTAAACCTATGGTCTATTATAATTCAAAGGAGTAATATTTTGCATCATTCAAGCAGAATTTATTGAGTGCATGCTTAGATTTATAGATCAAACCTGAAGCAAAACTGTTCTCAAACAGCTCAAATCTGTTTTAGAGTTTGAATTATTAATTCAATCACTAAATAGCAAGAATACTTCAAATACTGAAGAACAGATATAATTTAAGACTACTTCAACTAGATTTTAATATCACATTTACATCTTTTATTTTATAATAAGAAGAAAGGAAGGGTTAGAATTTATAGAATATAGTTTGATTACCTTAGACACATTCTTATACTCCAATTTTAATAGAAATAAATATAAAAGGAAAAGTTTCTTTTCTACACAGACTATTTAAACTAGACTACTTTTGCTCATTAAATAATTTGCTGATATTTACATCTGTGATAAAAGCAAAGTAATACCATTAACATAACATAGAATCATTGTCTTAGTTCCCTTTCTCTTTGTTTTGAAATTTTAAAGAGTATAAAGCAATGTAATAAGTGTGAAATGTCTGATCAAACAATTAATTCCACCTTAAGTTTGAAATACAAAAGTATCTTGTATAATCTAATCATTTTAGAGAGGGAAAAATTATTTTAAAAAAACTTTTTAAAATTTCAAAACCAAACTATAAAAATAGACTTTAAAAGTATGTGAAAGTAAATATAACAGTTCAGAGGGGAAAAAAGTCCTTAGATCTTTATCAGTTTGTACTTACCTTGTAATAAATCAGGAGATTCTAGCTATAGAGCCCTGTCTCTGTAGTTTCTTTCAAACCCAGCCTTGATAGTGAGTTTTCTCTTGACGTTTTTATAGTATCAGTTATACATCCCTTACTCCAATCCCTGCCTTTGCTTTCTCTTACATCATTTCTACAGATTTTCCACTGAACTTGTTCATAAGCCTCTTTTCAGGCTTCTCTCTCTCTCTCCCTTTCTCCCCTTCCCTCTCTGCTACTTTTTTCTCCTTCCTCCCTCCCTCTTTGCCTCTCCTTTACCCTTATCTTCCTCTCCTACCTATGGCTTTGTGGCATTTAAGAGCAATGGGGGTTTAACTGTGGAAAATTTAAGTATACATTTAGTACCCATGTAAGTACATTACGTACCCATCACCTCTTCCTGAGGTTTTAGTCCAACTCTGAGTTTTACACATTGTGCTTGGAAAATAAAATGCTCTAAATCTTGCTTAAAATCACCAGGGCATTTCAAGTTAAGATTTAAAGAGATTATAACCAGAAACCCAAACTGATATATTGGTGCCCTTTTTTGGAGCCTTAAATTAAATAATCATCTACAGCTATGATGAGGTGTCTCTTCCTCGGTCAGGTACACACTGCCGTGTCAGTGAAACCCACAACTACTTGGCAATTAACAAGCTCTCCTGGGAAGCTTGTCACTAACAAACCTAAAAATACTGGGCTATAACATGCAGCCTATAAATACAAATGTAGTCATTCTTATCTCACTCCTGTTTTTCAATATTTTAATTTTCTTTCAACTAAAATATTCCTGCCTCTTTTCAGAAGTTTTCCTTCATTCCCATTGTCCACTAATTACCTTTGTATCCTTACATCCATAAACTATTAAACACAAACCCTTACATTCTAAGGGGAATGTGTGATGTCATGAGATCTTTTTGGCCTCTTTGGTCCAGCAGCAGGTTCCCAATTAACAGACATGGAACCTGAGGCTGAGATAAACGAAATGACTTCACAAGATCACGCAGCTGGGGGATACAGACAGAGCCTGATTTCAAATACAGAGCTCCTTAATCCTGTATGTAATCTTTTGCCCATGCCTGCACTTTGTCATGCTACTTAAAAAGCTAGAATAGAGAATTCAAGCCAGATCATACTTTTGCACAAATAGAAATAAATTTGTTCCTTTTGGTTTGGCTTAAAAGCCATTTAAAATACTACTCACTAGTGTAGGAATGATTACATGGTGAATTTGGAGCACAAGAGGAGAGGACAACCGACTAGAACACACTGAATTGGTGGGACGGTAAAACGCTTCATTCTGTGCAGGGTTTGAGGGATAACATATGTCCCACAAGCTGAAATGTGAGTAGTTGGCAGCAAGAGCTCGCAAGTCAAGATAAAAATACAGCCTCGTTGTGGACCCTTGTTTAGACATTACTGCCATGAAACAATTATGCATCCTGAATCCACATGATGGAAAACTCTCAATATAGATCTAACTGATGCATTTTGATGCTATCACAGCCAATAGTCTTGACGTATCTTCTACCCTTATTTGAAATGCCTCCCTCAGCATGCTGACAAGTGGTATCTGCAGCTGATTTATTCCAGATCTGTCCCTGCTTAGACAGTCCAAAGATTCCACCCTATTTGTGGATTTTGTTGACCTAATTCAAAAGTTTGACTTAACTGTTCTGCCGCAGTAGAAATAGCAACAGTTTATTCCAGGAACGTAACCATGGTACATTTAGGCCATTTATACAGGCTTCTGTACATTATACACTGCTAAATGATCTATTTTTGCATTTGTATGTGCTAGAAGAAAATTTAAATATTTATAAAAAGAGGAGAAATGGGAGCATGCAAAGAAATAAAAGAAACAGAAAGTAAGCATCCTGTGATAGACGGGGAAACTAAGCTAAAAAGGGGATAAATATTGATGAAAACTTTGTCAGTTAGCATATTTTAGCACATTTCTATTTAATTCCGATAAAAACCTTGCCAACAAGGCATTACTCATATACAAAGTTCAAATCTGTTAACTACATGGTCCAAGTCCTCATAGCTTAAAAGTGTTGGGATCAGGGATTGAACCTTGGTAACTGTGTCAGCCAGGGGTCTGGTGGTAAAGAAAAGGCACATTCAAACTCAGTAAATCAAAGAATATGTAATTTGGGCACAGGGTATAGAATCCAGGGAGAAGGTGCAAGAGAAGGACCCAGCAATAGCCAGCTCTGTAGTCCTGTAATTCTTAGGGGATAAGGAGTTTACAGGGACCCAAGGACACAGGCATCCAGGTAAATAAAGTCGTCTTGCACAAGGGTGACCTTTTATCAAAAGACAAAGCTTGTCCAGAGCAAACAAGAGAGGGAGGGAACCTGTAAAACAAACACCGAGATTTCACCGTACACTACTTTTTTGTGCTGTTTCCCTCTCATGGAATCCAACCGCCAATTTAAAGAAGAGAAGGGAGGAAAAAAAAAGAGACCCAGCACACTGTTTAAGCTAAAAATTCCTGAGAAACCTACAAACAGGAGTCTCTGCAGACACCAGTGTGACCGCAGTTGCCCCAGATACCCGTATTCCCATCTAATACTTTAGCAACTTTTTCAAGTCAGCTTACTGAAGTGTAATTAACACACGTGGCATTCAAATTGTGCTCCCTTTAAATGGTACAGTCTGATGGGAGTTTGTAAATTCCACGACAATCAAGGTCTAGAAATTTTCCATCACTCCCCAAATTACCCTCAAACCCCCTTTCAGTCAATCTACAACAGCACCCCCAAATCCTTGGACCAACTAAAGGATTCTGCCTTTCCCCAGAAGCTATAGCGATCAAATATACAGTAGGCAGGGTTTGGTGCCTGGTACCACAGCAGCAACAGGACTTTGCTGTTGTCTGGATATTATTCTTTCCTTTGTTTTTTTTTTTTTTTAATGGAATGTGCTGAATGTCTATAATTTTGTTCAGATGACTGCAGAACCTGGAAAAGCTGTTGCTGCTATAGATGCATAACATACTATTATTAGTCT